GAAATTTAGAAGAAACAATCGAAAAATGACTAAAATGAAAGAAAATAAAAGTTCGAGTCAAATAGTCAAAAGATGATCTGGAATAAGAAATGAAGATGTTAATGAGTCGAAAACCAATTAAGAAAAGGAACGAAGTATTGGAAGAAGAAGAAGCGAAAACAGAGATCAAGAAAAAATGGAGTTCGGAGATTGAAACGTAAAATTGAATCTTTGCCTATACTATGCTATAGCGTAGTACATTATGCCATGCAGTAGCATATGTAGCTTCAGGGAATCCCAGGGCTCAAGTTTGTTGAACTATGCTATAATATAGTACATTTTCGGAGGTAAATTTCTGGTTTCTTGTATGACTCCAACTTTTATGGATAAAATATTTGGAATGTCTTTTAAAGACTTAGGGTCGTCCACAAACGTGTTACAACGCATTAGAACTCATTAGGGAGGATAGGAGGTAAGAAATATGAAGATCGATTCCAAAACTTGAAAATTCAATTCAAGATTTATTTTTATGATATCGATTCTTCAATATTTTTTTGTTTTCTTCTTCATAACCTGCTAGGCTAGATTTCTTTATACTAGGAGAACGATGAATCGTGTAATATGAATTTTTAATCTTTAATTTTACATATTTAACATTGAAAACACGTTTTTGGATTTTGAATGATTCGCATGATTATCTTTTATCTACGGTAATTATGCACAATAATTGTATGAATTTTGTGACTTATTCTATGCATTCAAAATAAGGAAAATAAGTTCGACATAATGTAAATCGTCAAAAGGTCCGATACGTAATAAAAATATACCGCTATACTATATGTAAATTTTAATTGTTCATAAAAATTCATGCACTCTTGTATACATAAGCATCCATTATAAAAATATAGTCATGTCATATATGAGAATAGAATTTTTAAGTATTCATAAAAATTCATGCACTCTTGTATATTCACATCCATTATAAAAATATGATTGGGTCATATATGAGAATATGTTTAACATTAATCGAGAAAGATTGTTGAATAAAATAGAAACATTATTGTTCAAAATTCAATCGTATCGTCAACGTGTTAAAAATGATTTTTACTTGGGAATCCATTAAAACACTTTAGCTTGCATTTAGCATATTTGTATTTATTTTAATTAATTCACGCATAATTATATAAGTAAATTATTTTAGTTATACGAACAAACACACCATGTATTTTTGTTTCAATTAAATTCGCGATAAATAAAATTAAACTAAATCAATTTATGAAACAATACTTAAACAAATCCACTTTATTATTTATTAATGAATCTTACAAATTATAATGATTTTAGATCTGTAGATATTTTCGCGAAGAATCAAAATATTAAGTTCATCTGCATCTCGTTTCTGTTGACCTATTGCAGTTTGGCAACATGAAAGTTTTTTTGCAATGTTCAGAACAAGTAATTGAAAAATAAAAGATGCAACCAAACAAATTCACATTTTATTTCAAATTGATCAACTTCATGAGTACACTTTGAAAACCATAGAAGAAAACAGACAACATGAAATATTAATCCCGACTCAATACACAAGACTTATTCAGCCAGAAATATCAATGGCCTTCACTTCAGGCTTCTTCACCTCTTCCTTGGGGATAGTGACAGTCAGCACTCCATTCTCCATACTTGCTTTGATATGCTCCATCTTTGCATTCTCAGGCAGTCTGAACCGGCGAAGGAATTTTCCAGAGCTCCGCTCCATGCGGTGCCAGGTGTCATTCTTCTCCTCCATCTCCCTGTTCCTCTCTCCACTAATCTGCAGGATGTTCCCTTCCTCCACTTCAACCTTCACTTCCTCCTTCTTCAGTCCGGGAAGATCAGCTTTGAACACGTGGCCTTCCGGCGTCTCCTTCCAATCAATCCGTGTGGCGGCAAACTGAGACGTCTCGTTAGAAAGTTCTGAACGAACTGGGACTGAGAGGGCTGAATCAAAGGTCCAATCTTTGAAAGGGTCCCAAAGATCGAGAGATAATGTATCAAAAACGTTGCTTCTTTGACCGAAAACACTTGGAATCAGCGACATTCTACGATCTTGTTTAACTGGAAGTTTAGAAAATGGGTCTGGACTTAATTATTTGAAAGTTGTCAAGGAGATTACTAACTGGATTTTACCATGGATCACCACTTGGGAAAGACGGATTTATTTATAGTGCAGCTCAAGGGTAAATATGTAAAGTTCACGAAGAGAACAGGTATTTCTCGAGAATTCGCAAATATTAGCGTCTGATCTGGAAACACTTTTCGACTATTAGAAATATCTGGAGAAACCCAGAAAAAAACTGGCCAAGTTTTGGTTGCCACGTGTGTAGGGAATTCATTAGGCAATGACTCTTCATGTCACACAGTCAAAGTTCTTTGTACAGAGGTTTGAAGAAAATTTATGTGATTTTTGGATAATATCATTTTTGTGGGTAAAGTATATCAAAAATATTGAAAGATAAAATTCATTGTCGCCTATGGGGGCCTCCCTCCTCTTAAAAAAAAAAATATATATTATTATATTTTTATAGATCATGGCTTATTTGCTTGCCTTTTTTTTCTCAATAAAATTCAGATTCTTATGTTATTTTTTAAAAATTAAAAATTAAAGCTAAAGTGCAACTGTAAAAAAGTATGTTATAATTTGGTTTAGAGTATGAAATTAAGTATGGAAAAGTGACTTTCATATCAATTTCGACCAAATATTAGGATTTAATCTGATAGTCAAATTATGAATATAAATAAATAAACTTATTCTACTCGTCGAGTAAATCGTCGTGGTATATTTAGAACATCAAAACCAATTTTGGATGATTGAGAAATTGCGGTCCAAAGTTGAATAGAAAAGAGAAAATACGGGTTGGGAAAATGGCTATCTCTGCCGCTCGCTGAGCGGTGAGACTGTTGCTCGAGCGACAGACTAGTGAGAGAGCTTCAATAAAAAGGTGTCAATGTCTTCGAGCGAGAGGCCAGTGACGGCAAATCCTGCAACCTTCGTAAAAAATTGCTAAGTTTGGGACGTGACAATTCACTTTCAACTTTTCATTTTTCATATAAAGGACCCTTGGACGTCCATTATGCATCTTACATCATTTTTGCATTGATCATTACATTAAAACTTTTGCAAAATGCTCTCCAAAACCATTTTCTTGTAGAAAGAAAATCATCATTCCAAATTCGTTGTTGCTTATGATTTGAAATGTTTCTATAATATTTTATATCTTGGGAGACAAGTGTCGTAATTGGTTAGTACCGTTATGGGGTAATATTGTTTTAAGGAAAAAGTGTTTTCACTTACCTCGAATTTCGATTTTCATTTTTTTTTTTCTTTTTTTCTTCTTTTTATTTTCTTTCTTTCAATTTTCTAGAGCTTAATGAAGATTCTGAAAATTAAATTTGAATATTTTCTCTGTCTTAACTACCATTTACATATACTTACGTCCCAACAATCTAATCATGGCATTTTTAACCAAGTTTATAGTACAAAACGTTAAAATTCAATTAAGTTTCTGAAAGTAAATATAGGCGTATTGTTATGGTCTACAACTTTGCAGTTTGGGGTTTATTTTGTGAATAATGAAGGGGAGAACACAATTTATCTACACAGGACCAACTTGCTTGCACATGTTCAATACGAAAATTAACTTTTCCCAGTCCCCTGCTTCAAAGTTCAAATATCCTGGAATTTTTTCATAGCTCTCATTTCTCACTGTGTTGTATGTTTATTCTGATTCTCCTCCTACCTTTAAGACGAAAAATGAAAATAGCGAAAAACATATATTTTGAAAGCCACAGATAAAACAAATGCTGATTTATATAATTCAAAGAGGATATATCAAAAGCACATAATACTAACAAGTTCACAATCCAAATTAATGAATTTATGATTTTATATACTATTTGGATTAATAAAAATATAAAGGAGATTAATAAGTCTTTCATCAACTCAACATGACTAAAAAATATTATGTGAACGTGTAGGTCAAAAGTCATCACAATGTGGTTGAAAGCCATGAGCTAGCATTTCATAAAGCAACCATGGAGACTTAACGGTAACAAAAGTCATAAATCAGACTGTAGAGGTTCCATAACATGGAAAGGCCCAAGGACATAAGGATTGAAATGACACCATTTATGTTCTTATCGTTCGTCTAGGCTATGTTGCCAGGATAAAAGAGCGAGCTCAAAAAATGTAAAAATTTTAAAATCAATTTAAATGAGAGAATTGAGTATTTTCTGAATACATTTTAGATATTTAATAATATTCGAAAACTATATACAGATAGTCGAAAAGGTATGACATATGCATTACAATTTTCTTTTGGCTATATAGTCATTGGCAATCTGCAAAAGCTATTTTTAACTATAATTATAGTGATGCGCGTGCCTATATACGTAAATTTTAATTTTAATTATTATTATTTTGTATTTTAAATTGTTCCATCTGGTTCAAAACTCCACAATCATGATTTGGAGTTTAATTATATTTATCTCTTCATTTTGAAACAACTACAATTGAATGATCCTTCAATGTCTGAAAGTATTCATAACTCTGTTCTCCACACTGCTTTCTATCTGTACCATCCAAAGTCCCCCGAATTTCACTATATTTTGTATTTTTTTGCAATGAAGACGTAAATAGATGTGAAATTTTGGCAATGTAAAGAACAAACATCATTGAAAAATAAGAATATTTCACCGGGAGAATTTCACCAGAAATCTCCCAGGGAGGTGAGTCCCACTGTGAATAAAATACCGCAAATGTCGGACCCCACCTGCTTCTGAGTGTTCTGGCCGGCTTCCGTGTGCACAATATTCAGTTTACACAGCAGAATTGGTAAAATACACAGATATAATCAAACAAATCCACACTTTATTTGAAATTGATCAACTTCGTGAGCACACAAAACCATAACAGTAAAACAGACAGCCCGAAACATTAATTGCATTCACATAATCATATAATACTCAAATTACACAAGACTCTATTAGCCAGAAATATCAATGGCCTTGACTTCAGGCTTCTTCACCTCTTCCTTGGGGACAGTGACAGTCAGCACCCCATTCTCCATACTTGCTTTGATATGCTCCATTTTTGCATTCTCAGGCAGCCTGAACCGGCGAAGGAATTTTCCAGAGCTCCTCTCCATGCGGTGCCAGGAATCATTCTTCTCCTCCTTCTCTCTGCTCCGCTCTCCACTAATCTGCAGAATGTTCCCTTCCTCCACTTCAACCTTCACTTCCTCCTTCTTCAGTCCGGGAAGATCAGCTTTGAACACGTGGCCATCCGGCGTCTCCTTCCAGTCAATCCGTGTCGCGGCAAACTGAGATGTCTCGTTAGAGAGGTCTGAACGAGCTGGGACTGAGAGGGCTGAATTAAAGGGCCAATCTTTGAAAGGGTCCCAAACATCGAGAGAGAATGGATCAAAGACGTTGCTTCTTCGGCCGAAAACACTTGGAATTATCGACATTCTGCGATCTTGTTTATAGGAAGTTTAGGGTGGGCTCTGACTTTAATTTTTTTGAAAGCTATTACTGAGAGTATTTGCTGGATTTTGTTATGAATAACGACCGCGGAGAGGCGGGTGTATTTATACTGCAGCTCAAGGGTATAAATGTGTAAAGCTCTCGAAGAAAATGGGTATTTCTCGAGGATTCGTGAAGATTAGCGTATCTAATCTGGAAATACCTTTTCAGTATTAGAAATATCTGGAGAAACTGACCAAGTTTTGGTTGACACGCGTCCACATATGCTCTATATTTATTTAAAAACAATTATGTCTATCTTTGACTATCATACTTTTTGAATTTTTTTTTCACGGACTCATTTTTAATCACAAATTCACACAATAAAATATTTTATATTTAAATTCAAAAATTTTACCCACTTTTTAGACCTTGACTCTACTAAAAATTACTACTCAAAATTTTATTTTTTTAAGAAGTATGGTTTTCAAACTGGGCTAAATTTTGTAATACTATAATGACTTCACTTATGAGAAATTTTTATTATGAAACGGCAGTTCATGGTGTAAATTTAAATTTACCGAATATTTAGACTCGACATGCGGAATTACACAATTAAAGTAACGAGTTACTTTTAAATTGTTTTTAAATTATTAATTATTCATGTTAATTTATCATTACAATTTGTAATATGAAAGTAATAGAGAAAGTATAATTGATCATGAAGGAATTTCAATTGGGTAAAAATTTCGTGCACTTTGCTATCGGTAATTCACTATAAATCGAAGCAAACTTACAGTACGGTCCAAACACGTCTATCCCGAAGAACTTTGACCTCAATTCCTACAATCTCTATTAATCCTACTGGATGTGTGTTCTTTCAAAACAAATATCGACTCCTAGTTTATACCTTAGCCCCCTGAAGTGCGTGCTCCCGACTCTTGGTATCTCACCTTAGTCCTCCTAAATTTATGCTTCAGTAATAGCTCTTGATCACTGGTATCGATTTATCTCCAACGGATTAAATGAAGAACTTTTCGTTTTTCAAGTTGGTGTTTGATCAAACTATCTTTGTGTGTTATGATTTGTGGTTTAATATGAAATAATGTGGCTTGATCAACAAATCAAAGTTTGGATAAATGTATGGCTTAAATAATATGGTGGTTAAATCTTGAAATCAATGAATGTGTTTTGAATATTCAAATAAATGATCTCTATGGAAAATATTATTCACCACATTTTTGGACATCTCATAGGATGTATATTTATAATGGGTAGTGTTTGTAATAAAAAAGAAATTCAAATTAGCTTGAAAATCGAATATTACAGTTCCTCGAATAACCACATTGCTCGATCACTAGGCCAGCGACAGACTAACAATAATTGAGCAATTGTCAATATTTTTATCGTAACTCTATCTCTCGATGTCCGATTAAAGTAATTCAAAATGCGTTGAAAATATAACTTAATTGACTACAATTCTTCTACAATATCCTCGTCCAAATTCCAATTTTTTCTATGTGAAAAATGCGTTGAAAGTTGCGACCAAGAATTTGGAGTATAACTTATGCGGCTCATTGTCACCTTTTAAACTTATAATTGTATTTCAATTATTATATGTGATCTTCTTAGATATCTTAGACTCCTTTATGACCTATATTATCAATTTCAACTCTTTTGTTGTTATTAGTACTCAATAACTCCTAATACAATTCAATTAGGATATGATTTTGATTAAGAAAATTGCCAATTATAATTGATCTTAACAATCTCTCCCTTTGGCATTCTGTGACAAAATCATATTTATTTTAAAATTCAATAAGTCCAAAACTACCCAAAAATAAACTTCCTAAAATTTTCTTCAATGCTTGGTCAACTTGTTTACTGAAACACATGAAAACCACAATGCCATGTGAATTTATCATATGTTGAATTACCACATTTATACTGCAGTTAAAACACATCTTAATTTTCGCATTTGCCTTATACCACATTTGTCATCAAAAGGTTTTATGAAAAATATTTTCGTTTCGCCAAATTAAAAAAATCACAATTTTCATTAAAAACATGCACAACTCATAATGTGTCGTCATTTTATTAAAAAATGCACAGAACACATAATGCAACCAACAACGGTCACAAGTAAAGTACCGACACAGTTCACACAGAATAGTCAAGTAAACTTTACTAATGTCACGTGCAATTCTAATAATGAAAAAATTTAATTGGCAACTAGTTAACATAGAATTCAAGGCAAATAATTAACAAATAATTCTTAAATCTAGCAATAGGCAATGATTACCCCTTCACGGTAATTTCAAACCTAACGTCACCCCCATACGATGACTTCTAATGTGAAAAATAAGTTATCCTACACAATAATTTTAACTGCAATAATAAGAAGAAAAGAACATGATATCGAGCGGATCACGTTTGAAAGTCCATAAATATCGAGAGTTGCAAATTTACCACTTTGGGACTACCGCAATTCGCCCCAAATCTTCCGTCAACAAGAAACAGCACCCGGCACCCGAACGTCCAAACGTAAAATCGTCCAGATTTCACCGTATAGCTCGAAACTGAAATCTGACAAAACCGCAGGGTCCGTCTCGATGTCCTAGAAAAACTGCCTGAAGACCACCTCACCGGAAAGTGGCCCACGCGCCCGCACGGCAGTCGTCGGAGCTGTGCGTGGGCCTCACGCGTTGGCGCCGGTCGACATGCGCCACCATCCCAGCTGCTCCTCCGCCTGCTGAGTCTGCTTGGTGTCCGTTTCACCAACCGACCACTGGTTTGGCCGGAAATTTGAAAAATTGGGCAGTTTTCGAAATATGCAATTTGGGAAATTTCTGCTCGATTTTTCTGCTGATTTCTGGCCTAAAATCCTCCTCAACCTGCTCTGATATCATTTGTAGATTATTGGCCTCCAATCATACTCCAAAACCAGGCTCAGAAAACCAATCGATCACCACACGGCTTCAAACTCGACCCAACACCTTCCTCTACTTTGTTGCTCTAAGATTTCATCCACAAAGGATCATGGTGGCAGTGGTTAACAAGTCCACATAGGAAGGAAGAAGAAAATGATGAAAATGGAAGAGTCTCACCAAGAAATCTCCCCCACAACTCGACTGCCCCTCTCTCGAATCTCTTGCATACTTCACACACACCCATAGTTTTTACTAGAGAATGATGGGTATAAATTAGGTTATCAACCTAATTTGGGCCAAGACTCATCTCTCTCTTTATGGGCCAACAAAACCAATAAATGGGCTAAGTTAATGGGCCCAAACCACACACTAATCAAACCACCACTCCATCTCCAACTTGGACCTTCCAAAAATATTAATAGTATTCAAGTAGTCTATGACGTCCATAAATTACTCGTCAAACGTTTTAAATCATGGCCCCATTGGGTATCAAAACCCAACAGCCCAGTTTTTTTTCCTTTCCTTTTTGATGGATTTTGCATACTCGCTTTAGTACACTTATTGAAATCTTGTTGATTTGATGCATGGTGTTGCTTTGCTTTTTCTTAGAGGAACTTCTATATTCATGGGTATTTTTAATCTGGGAGCACTCGGTTTAGCTTAAGTTCCAGGTTCATGATGGGCATTTATTTCTTACTGAATTTAGCAAATTGTTCGTGTATGGACTTCACAAATTGCGTGATATTCTGCGCCATTTTTCCATTTATTCTTGCCTGCAATGTAGAGATTATACTTTATATGTATTATTATTATTATTTTTTTTTTGGATCTTAAAGAAAGCAGAAGGAAATAATGGTTTTGCCAAAAAAGTTTTGACATTCTATTAGGTTAACTGCTGTGATAAGATAGTAAAAATGGTTTCTTTTGAAGCATATTTTGATGATTGAAATGATCGAGTCAGAAAGAAATTAATAAAATGATCTAACAACACTTTGCTTGTAAAATATGGTTCCATGTGTTCTCTTCTTTGCTCAGATCTTGTTGGGAATCAAAATAAAGCGAGATATTTTCCTGTCAATGAGTTCCAATAGGAGGATATTAGTCATTAAAACATTTCTGTAATCCTTCTGATCACATGAACTAATATTCAAATTTCTTTGATCGAAAGAATTAAGGTTTCAAGCTATCATATTGAAGAATGGTTAATTATAAGAAACCAAAGAGAAGGGTGGCTTTTGTGCTGATAGATGGTTTGGGCGATGTATCACTGCCAATGTTTGGTTATAAAACCCCGTTGCAAGTAGCCAACACGCCTAATTTGGATGCGATTGCTTCTGCTGGTATAAATGGTTTGATGGATCCCGTTGAAGTAGGCTTGGCCTGTGGAAGTGATACAGCCCATCTTTCTTTATTGGGTTATGACCCTAGGGTTTATTATCGAGGTCGGGGTGCATTTGAATCAATGGGTGCTGGACTGGCAATGTCTCCAGGAGATATTGCATTTAAAGTATGTAGCCTCCCCTTCCTCTCTTTACTCAGTTCCTTCAATTTGGTTTCTTAGTTTTTACAATCTAGATTGATATTCTTTGTTGCTGGGCAGCATTTAATGTATCTGTGCAGAAATTTCGAGATAGTGGTTTTGTAATTTGATATTATTATTTCTAGTTATGCATCAAGATTTCGTAGATTTATATGGGAAATTTTTTTTTTTCTCTCCCTTGGAATTATATTTTTTATTTATCTGATTAGTAATTTGAAAAGTTAAAACCAGATAACTTTTATCATGACATAATATGGTATCGAATGAACAATTGTTGTACTAATTCATTTCTTGCCTCTATTTACACTTTGATTGTGTTCTGCAACAAATATGAGAACACTAGTGTAAAAGATTTCCTCTTATCCATTTTCTCTATTAAATCTTTACAGTTCATTAAGATGCTTATTCAGTGTTTACAATTACTAAAAGTTGAAAAATCATTTTACTTGATATATTTCTTGTTCTACCTTTTGTCGCATATTGTTTTAAAGTTAAGCTATGAAAAGTTTAGACCAAATGCATTATTTGCATAAGAATATAATTTGCAGCCAAGAAGATTGCATATTGATTTCTAGAAGTTTACAGTGAGTACTAGCGTAGTGAAATGCATTATTTGATATTATGGACTTATCCTGTTCTTTGACATGGATCTGTAGTATTATTTACTTTTCGTTTACCTTGTGGAAGGGACTATGTTTTTTTACTGAGTTCAGCAATTTATATTTATTTTGCTTTTGTATTGTGAAAACTCTCATGCCACTATACAGGTCTATTTCTTACTCAAAAACACTTGCTTTACCATCAATTTAAGCTGTATAAGAAAGTTATTTGCTTTTGCAGATGTGATTAGTTTCGTCCTAATTGTATATTCTATAAGAAAATACATATTTTAGATAGTCATTGGTCCTCTATAATGACCATTATTTTTATATCCCAGTCAAACTTTGCAACCCTGGACGAGAAAACTGGAGTAGTTGTTAGCAGGAGGGCAGCTAGGCACTTTGAAGAGGAAGGGCCTATTCTCTGTGCAGCATTGGATGGAATGAAGCTGCCATCTTTTCCTGAGTATGAAGTTAGAGTCAGGTGCTTACAGTTGCTGCTTGCTATATCTTTTGCTTATTGACTGATGTATGCAACTGCAGAAACCATTTATGGAGTTTAGGCCTTAAAACCATTAATTATTTTGAGAGTCAAATCAATTAAATTTTATCTTTTATATGTTATTGATAGCATACACCATAATTTTACCATGTTGCTAGTTGCTTTTGTTCTGTGTCTAAGTTGAACTTTTAAATTCTTATGTTGCCCATATAATTTAGAGTATTATATGAATTGTTTTGCTTAGGTACGCAACAGAGCATAGATGTGGAGTGGTTGTAAACGGACCAAAATTAAGTGGAAATATATCAGGAACAGATCCACTGAAGGATAATCGCTTACTTCATCAAGCTGAAGCCCTCGATGATTCTGATGAAGCAAAGCACACGGCTGCAGTTGTTAATGAATTGTCAAAAGAGATTTCTCGCATTTTAGTTTCTCATCCAGTAAATGTTAAAAGGGCAGCAGAAGGAAAGAATATTGCGAATGTTGTCCTTTTGCGAGGATGTGGTATTCGAATTGAGGTAAACTATTGTAGTTCTTAGTAATTTCTCTCGTTCAGAATATTCATATAGGCACTCAATTTTCAGCTTTATTATGTAATGGAATGTGTATTTCTTTAATAATCTGGTGCGGTAAATTAGATTCTTTTGAATTTCTGAATTATCATAGATTACAGGTTCCTCAATTTGAAAAGATACATGGGCTGCGGCGATGCATGGTGGCTCCCACCAAAATTATAGCTGGCTTGGGTTTGTCTCTGGGTATTGATATTCTAGAAGCTCCAGGAGCAACAGGAGACTACAGAACTCTATTAACTTCAAAAGCAACTGCCGTAGCCAAGGCACTTTCAGCTCCTCTGCAATCTTGCCCCTGTGTTCTTGTACCTGGGGAGGACGAACACAAACCTGGTCGAGCAGATGGCTATGATTTTGGGTTCCTTCACATCAAGGTGTTGATCTATAGTGCGCTCTCTCTCTCTCTCTCTCTCTCTTTGTGCGTGCACGTTATTGCATTTGGGGCTCAATGTGCTCTATTTTTCATGGGTATATCTCCATCAAAGGAAATTCCAGAGATTTTTCTTGTGAAAGGATAATCCTAGACATCTGCTACTCTTGGGTATTTTATGCCATTTTCACCTCTCACCATAGCGGAACAGCCTGTGAAACACATGCTGAAGTGAATAATTATAACTTTTTTATTTTTTATTTTTTGTCTCAGAATCAACCTCTCGTTTTTATTAATCTAACAACATATACAATAATTAATGTGCATTAGATTGTCTGAATAATTTGACATTCTTAAGCATTTCCATTATTGGTGGTAGGCAATAGATGATGCAGGCCATGATAAAGCTAGCATGTTCAAAGCCAAAGGATTGGAAGCTGTTGATCAAGCTATTGGACAGCTGGCTAGGCTCCTTTGGGAAGCAGAATCGATGGGGGCATTTCGATATTACCTTTGTGTCACTGGAGACCACTTGACTCCAGTTGAATATGGTGACCACAGCTTTGAACCTGTCCCATTTGCATTATGTCGTTTAAAAGACTTTGTAGGTGCTGTGGGAGGTGAATCGGTTCTTTCTAAAACTCCTCTCGACCCATTTCCAATTCCAACAATCCAAGCTGGTGAAGATTTTGTAGAAGATTTGCTGATGCAAGAAGAGAAACGAAACAAACATATAGAGGCTTTTAATGGTGACACGGTTTTTGAGTTGAATGAGATAGCAGCAGCAAGAGGCTGTCTTGGGCGATTTGCTGGAACTGAAATGATGGGAATTATAAAGGCATTTCTTAAGCTCGAAACATAAGAAGCTTTGGTGCCCATTTTGTTGTTAGTTACTGCTTCAGATCAAGAATAATTATATTCGCAATTCCATAAACATTGAATGTTTGGCCTTTTTTAAGTTGTCTCATTTTGGAGATTCTTGTAATAAAAATGTTTCCTTATTAATTAACCTAGGATGCGATTAATGATACTTCTGTTTATGCTTTTCTCCCATGTAAGTTTGGCTGCTGACTATTTCTATCTGAGCATGAGAGATGAGTTCTCTGAACAGTGCCGGTCCTGTGATCCGCGGGGCCCGAGGCGAACTCCGAAAATTGTGCCCCCAGAGATCAACGTAAACGTAAAATTCAACCGTGCATTATGCAACGTATTGCAAACTTAACATTGACGCGTAGAACAACAAACAAATATAAAGAAAAAAAGATTTATATACATTATAAAGTAACAAAACCGATAAGAGTTCAAACAATCAGTTAAAGTATTCAATACAGTGACTATGCCTATTCCAGCATCCAGCGTTGCATCTCAGTTCTCACAAATCTGAAATTAAATCATTCACATATAATTTGGAGTTGGAGAGTGGAATATTTGGGATTGAGAGCGGGAAGGAGAGATGCGTCGAGTGATTCGGTGAGTGTGTGGTAGTTTAGGTTACAATTGGGCCTCCAAATTTGGGCCTTGTCTGAAAAAAAAAATTGGGCCAAAAAAACGAGGCCCTCTCCACGCTTGGGCCTGAGGCGGCGGCCTCACTCGCCTTGCCTCAGGGCCGGCCCTGTCTCTGATTCTCTTAAACAAGGTTTTAAAATGTGTAATGCATGGCAATACATTTCGGTTGAGTATCAAACATTATAAGTATAGGCTTGTCTATCCAAGCATTTGCGTAATTATGCGTTTTTGAATTTTTAACATTATTTAAAATATTCTAAACTAATAAATAAAATAATATATATTTTTTGAACTTTATACATATTCTTTAAATTTCAAAAAAAAAAAAAAAATTGCTCAAAATCTTAAATATTTTAATTACTGAAATTTTATACATATTCTTCAAATTTTCAACAAAAACATATTACTTAAAATCCTAAATACTTAAATTACTTAGGGTCTGTTGGGTAGGGATTCTCATTTTCTATAGTAAATCAATTTTCATTTTCAACCACACATTCTTCAATAAAATAATATTTTCTATTACATCAATAATTTTTTCTTCTTTTTCAACCACACATTTCCTCTCATATCACTATTCAAAATCAATTCTTCCCCCAAAAAATTCCTACCAAACAAGCTCTTAGTAAACAATTCCTACAATTAAATTAGATATGAACACCGACTTAAAAAATCTTAAATTTTGTCTAGGTCTTTATCGAATTTCAATTCAATCTCATTTTCTTCATCCAAGTCATCTTCGGTATCATTCGATACTAAATCATCTTCATCAGGTTCCCTTATTTCAACATTGAGGGGTTGCTCAATTGATCGGGCCTTGGGTTTGCTCCCCAATGGTCACCAGTTCAAGTCCCCTCATGGCCACTAAGGTAAGTGTCCGACTGTAAACTTCAGGGCCCCGTAGAATTAGTCGAGGTGCGCTCAAGCGGCACAGATATCCACGGTTATCAAAAAAAATAAAGGTTCCCTTATTTCAATTCGAGAATTTCTATCACCTCTTATAAATTGTAAGATATCATTGTCAATCTCCTCCTCATAATAATAACCACCAACAATCCGTGATTGTGTATTACTAGCATCACTTACTTTTAAAACTAAAGGAAGACCGAAGAATGAGGAGTCTTACGCTTGGTATAGATAGTTTGTAACTCTACGAAAAATTTATTTTGATTTTTTATTTTTCTAAATATCAAAAACCCTATAGATTGTTATATCTAATTCATGAGCTTGGATGATTTGGACCAATTTGATATTTGTTTGGCTCAATTTGCTTGTTTTAAGTTATAAAAGTGGACTGGACTTTGCTAAGCTAATTTTGACACAACTGTTAACACAAATACTTGCGTATTTTGACGTTTAAATGTGCATATACGGTCAAGAAAATTAATTGATCGTATTATCATGTGCATATCCCATATGCGAGGCATTTCGAAAAAATCCCAGCATATGGGGGCATATGCAAAGCATATTCGCTCACTTTAGAACATTGCTCATAATGAGCAGGTAAAGATGTAATCTTGAGCTTCTGTTATTTGTCGTTTTATCTTCTGTATATGAATAGTACAATTTTGTCACACCACTGGCCTCACGGCCCTCACCTATTTTGTTTCTATCATTGAGGACTAATTATAACTGCAAAGAAAGCTTTGAAACCAATTCATTTTGGTTGGGACTAGCTAGTGGAGCTGTAAGTTGCATAGCAATATGCTATTTTCCCCATAAAAATTTTGTCATCAACGTCGAAAGGTTCTTGTCAAGGGTTAATTTTAGCTATTAAACTTTAATTTGTGTTAGACTAATCGTCGAATTTTACAATACGTTTCAAACCACCGTGTTGGCGTCTATTATTTACCAAAAAAATCTTACTTGGACTAATCGTCGAATTTTACTATACGTTTCAAACCACCATGTTAGAATGGTGTCTATTATTTAACAAAAAATCTTTTGTTAAGGAGGAAGTCTCGAAGGCGAACCCCCCACCTATACCGTAGGCCCCTCGGTCAGGCGGGTTGTAAATCGAGGGATATGCACGAGTGGCAGGGACCCGAGGGAGAGAGCCAACGGGACACAAACCCAACTTGAGTTAGGAATCGAACCTGCATTGTCGGAGGATTTCTCCTCATGTCCCCTCAGGCCTTACCAACTCGCCTATGCCCCTGGAGGCTATTTAACAAAAAATCTTACTTGGACTAATGATTGACTATGTGTCCATTAAACCACTGTTTGACGATCACTGTATCAAAACTCTTTAATTCTTATACTCATTTTCAACCACACATTTACACAATAAAATATTTTGCATATAAATCCAAAATTTTCTCTACTTTTTAATCACACATTTTCAAATAAGTCACTATTCAAAAGTCCATTTTTCTCAAAACAATGGCCATCAAACAAGGGCCAAATTGGATTACGAATGTCGCCTATAAAGTTCTTGTTCATGGTTAAAGATGTCCTTGAAAGTTTTTATGTTGTATTTTGTATGTTGAATTGAATAAGATTTGTTCTCAACAGTTTTAACTGATTATGCCAAATATAGAACACGTCTTGATAATTAGGGTTATTCTAATGAGTTGTGGCATCAAATAATGAGACCCATAAAGTCGAACTTATCCACATATTCAATTGACTTCATTTCACTACACTTGTCACGTCACTAGAGAATGATCTTTGCTAGGAACAAATAGCAATATTCTTATATTTATAATTTATGGCACCATATGTGCTTGATACTTCATTTTTTCTCTTTTTTTTTTTTTTTCCTTTCATGACAAATAGAAAAAAGAAAGAAAAGACCGGATTGGACTTTGGTATTCTGACTATCGTCTCTTTATCCTATTCCCATGGTCAAGAGTAATGGTGTAAAATGGACTGAATTCGAATGAGTTTACCACCATGGCAGTCGCTCCGTTGTTTTAGAGGGCGACATGTTTTATACTTCCTAGTGGAATACTATCGAGTTATTCCACGTCCTCGTTGGTTGCGAGTTTGGCCAGGACATATGCACGACTATTTACAATGTGGTGATTAGTTTTATGCCAACTGTTTCAAAGTTCTTGAGTTCTCTTTGAAGTACTTGAACACACGAGGCCATCATGTCCTCTTTTGTTAGGAAGGACTCATTGACTTGGTTGACGAGGAGTTGGGAGTCACCATGCACAACTGTTCTGAATATCTTTATTCCTTGTCCATTCTTAGCTTTGGAGCCTATGAATTGGACCGAAAGCAATAGCTAGGTCGTTCCAACTTCTGACTGACCTCTTGTGCAACTTCCTAGACCATCTTTGAACTTTTATCATCAAGGGTAAGGGAAAAGTAGGCACATTATAACATTGTTGGCTCCTTGGAGCTCTATCCATGATATGTATTTGTCGAGATAACTGATGGGATCACTTTCTCCTCGTATCCAGTGAGCTGTGACATTTTCAACTTTTTTAACAAGGGCTCTGCCAAGATGTCCTCGGTCAAAGAAGGGTGATAGTTTAGTGAAGTACTCTTCAATTACCAATTTTTTTTTTTGATATTCACGTATTCTAGCTTACACCAGACTATGTCCTGGACCACCAATTTCCTGCCCCTCAGTGATGGGTGAAGGTTAACCGCGGGATATGCCCAAGTTGATCAGGGTCTGTGCACCCTTTATACTCTTGGCCCCAAGAGAGTCTTCCTCCATGGATATTACATCACCAAGCTGTTCCACCCAAATTGAGTATTACAACATTCAACTGCTCCATCCAGAAATCGAACTCCCCACCCCGAGATTGCAAGCCCAGCAGTGCCCATTCTTTGCCAACTTGGATGTGCCCCGGGGGGCATCAATTACCAATTTTTGCTTGGCCTCTAGGTTGGCTATGTGCTTCTTCAACCAATTTAGTCGAGTCTTTCCTTCCTTTAGTGTGTTTGTTCTGGGTTAGATAGATCGACTGTCTTTTTGAATGGGTGAACTATGTGATCCTAGTTGATCAAAGACGCTTCAACCTTTATGGTGTTTCAACCATCCCACTCGAGTCATTTGTCCTGCTTTTAAAGAACTTCTCTTTTT